AACTAAATGAACCCTGGGCTTGCATTTTTCTCTCACAGAGGAGCTGTGTTAATGTAGCATCAGTGGTCGGGCCATAATCTTAAACAGCACGGATCAAAAATGACTGGTTCATAGTTGGATAAATTATCCGGTTGCTTATTACGGTTTAACGAGTTCTTCCAACCTGTTTACTGTCCTATATGTTGCGATTACGCACTTATATGTCACTGTGTCAATCAACCAAAAACTAATATTCAATAATTGTAATAATCTACGACAGCTTTTCAAAAGTAATAATTTGTTTTGCTGCTTTGTAGATCATCTCTATACTTTGGACTGCATTTGGACAACAAATTGTAATCTAAAAGGCATCATCTTCGTCTAGGAAGTTTGAGAACTGATTTTGGACTTAAAAAAATGTATGACAAGTGCGTTGGAGGGAAATGCAATCTTGAAAGAAAATGAGAAAACTTTCTTACTGCTAAAATATTTATTTGGACAACAAATATATATATACCTGATGAAGGTCGGACGGAACAAATTGTTGTGTAGATAAATAATTCAGTGGTTAGCGCACAGTGGTGAACGTTTTTTCTTCCATTGTTGACAATACATAATTGAAACGAGACTAAGAGTCTTCAGCCTACTAGCAGCTCTGTGAGGCTTTCCAAAGCAGTGCTGTTAAAATAACATCTGAATGCTCATATTAGGATATGTAGTCCACTGAGGGATTGCCATGAGACTTAGTACAGACATTATCATACCAGACATATCAAAATCATTCGTAAACACCATGAAGCTGATAATGACTTGCATTTTTGGTCCGTGCTAATCTTAAAAACCAAAGAGGCTGAGGAGCAATTTACCTGAGGATGATGAGGCAATTTTCCCTCATTAAAAATGTAGCAGGCAGTAGAGCAGGTGCAAACCTTAAACAGCTCTCTGTGGTTGGCTTTAAATGCTGCACGGCTCATTAATGAGTCCTCTCTTTAGAGATGGGGGAATCTGGCCGTGAATGAACAGCATAGTATTGTCCACAAGAGTTCCCGCTGGGCAGATCTACCCGAACGCACCAGAATGCAAAGTGGACCTTGCTTTGGGACGAAGAAATACATCCAGCAGTCAAAAAAAGTGTATCAATTCAACTGATTACACCCAAGCTTCTTTTGTGGACACTTTTAACCTGCTGTGTGTGGGTACATCTTATTCAAATGTGAATACGGGGGAATCTGGATCCAGAGATTTGATGTCCTGACATTTGCAGTGTGCCATGATTACGGCTCCCATCATAATGGAGCTTGTATAACTGCCTGTAACCTGCTGAGGATAATCCTGACAGCTCCTGCCTCTGCAGCTGTTGCTCTTATTGTTCTTTCTCTCAATGTTTCCTCATTTCGTCTCCATGCAGGGTAATCATGTACACTGGTCCAATTTAGACACCAGTCCGATCAATCAAACCGCCGTCACAGCTTTACACAGCTTTACACAGCCCACGTAGTGATTTCAGATGCAGAATGAATGTTCCTGCTTGCTGTTTTCACACCACCTGTTTGCCAAGACAACTAGTAAATAAATAAAACCTCTTCACATATCATATGGTGCACCTCACTGCCTGGTACAGCATAGAATAGTCATTTCAGTGCAGAACAAATCCAGCTCGGCATGCTCACAGTATCACATCTCCTCATCAGGTTTCACATGGACTTGAATGGGATTTATATTACCTGTGTTAGACAAATCTACACCAACACTACATTTCTTTTGTGCACCTCTTACTTCAAGCTAAAGCTAAGCTTAAGTAGCTTAAAGAAGGGAAATACAAGAAGTATTACAAAATTATGATATTTAATCTTTACATGTTTGCCATTTTGGGAACATGGTTTGTTGGCTTTCTTATTAAGATTTCAGTCGGGCTCCATCCTACCAATTTTATAGTGTAACTCAGAAAGAACTGATGTAGAATCATCAAGATTGAAAGTGACAGCTTGCTTAGTGATGACAAGGCTGCTGGTAACCAAAAAACAAAACAGACAAAATGTACTTCCCTGTAACACTACAACTTGTTCTCAATATTATTCTATTAGTAAAAACAAGATACTGTGTTTACTGGTGAGTCTTTAGGCAAAGCTATTAATCTGCCAGCTCTAGACCCATATTTAGGTTACAGAAGTCTGTTATTAAATCATTTGTGTATTTGGACTTTAACTACTACTTGCCACTTTATTTGTGCCTCACTCTCAACATGTTGCGATAATTTCACTTGTATTATGTATTTATGTACACATACAGTGGATATTTAAAATATCAGTCTGTTACTTTTTCATATTTAATAGTTTAACAAGCTTAATTCACAACACATAAATTAAACTTTAATGGTATTGATTAACTGCTATGTTTTCACTTTGACATTTAAGCGGATTTCTCTAATGATCAGTTGCAGAAAAAACTAGTTAATCCACTGAGACTGAAACTTGTATAACAAGAAAAAGTCAGATGGAAGAAGACACTTGTGGAAAAATGAAATGTTAATTAAATGATTTTTCTTATAATCTTTTATCGTGTAAAACCAGTTTAGCTGTGGGCCCCTCCAATTACCAGCAACTTCGATCTTTTATTAAAAGCACTTATGTCCCTACAATGCATTATTCAATGTCTTTGTTGTAAGTTTGAAATACCATGAGGTAGTTTTACTAACATTTTGCATATGTCGCAATGTGTCTATATCCGCTCCTTAAATACAGTCTATGCCAATATCAAACTTACAGAAATATCAAACAGATCTTCTCAGCACAGTGTGGATGAACATGCCCAAAATGTGCTGCCAAAAAGCCCAGACCCCACCATGTTCACCCCCTCTGCCAGTTGAGTGCTGGTCCAACTAGACAGGTGAGGCAGACCTCTCCCAAAAAAATCCTGCCAAGATAATATTCAAATACACTCATTTGCATGACAAGACAAATTTGCAATTCAATCACAAATTTCCCCGCAAGCTTTCTGTGCCCTGAGGAGTCTGTTTGGACAGATTCCTGCGCAGCACAGAGCGTGGTCAAAGGTAGTGCAGCTACTTTTGACATTGATAAGACTATCTGAGGTGATATTTCTCAGCAGTGAGATAAAACGGCCTGTCTGGTTGTCAAGGTAGAGGCTTGGATCTGAGCCATTGCTAACTGATCCCTCCTCTGAGATCCCTCACATCCTGATTCCAGCCACATGTTCTGTCTTTCAGTACCAGGGAACTGTTACACACCCAAAAACATTACCTCCTGACCCCTAACCAAGCTCTCTGTCTCCCACACATCCTCTGCTCGTTGTGATGTGGATGCTGAGGCGAGGTTGGAGGATATAAAATCTGGCACCCCATTTAAATCAGTGATCAGTATCAAAATATTAGAATCAGGAATGAGCATTAGAGCTGCAATGATTCTACTAATCTATTTGTTGATCAACAGGACAAGGATCAATTGATTATTCATAGAAAAACCCTCTTAAATATAGAGATTTATAGCTTTTATATCATATTAAACTGCATTTCCTTAGGTCACAATCACCTTGGACTGAGAAACTGGAATGGTACGTTTCACTGTTTCTAAGTATTTTATTACCAAATAATGAATCAAGTAAACGGTCAAAGGATTAAAACCATTAAACAAAAATGTTAGTTGCAACCGTTTAACACAATACATAAGCGTGCCCTGATTATTTAAACAATGACTAGATAAACACTGGGATATGGAAGTACACAACGTGAGATGAAAATGTATTCAAGAATCACAGATGCACCAATCGATAAAATGCATCAGTATCAGAATCGATACTGACCCTGATAAATGCATAACTCTAAATGCATCTCAATTATCACATAAAATTCAGTTTTTTATGTCATTCCTTGGTTTAATGAGTTGTACGCACTGAGGTTTACAGACACATTTAGAAAAAAAGAGCGCACTTGAATCAGATCTCTACTGTGCATTTGTCTTGCAGTTGAAACACATACCCTATGTAAAGCATATGGTTAAACGCTTCACATATGCTCACATGAAACAACATACATTATTTAGCAGCATGACATAACACCTGGCTGGCGCACATCCCGGCATTATCATCCTCAGTTAAAACAACGAGATCCCCATCATAAACCCCCCCAACATTTAATGGAAGACTGCACATCAGTAGATCATCACTCCTCAGTTAACCGTTTGATGGCTCACCTCACACTGAGGGAAGGTTTCCTGTAATATCTCCATGCAAATGTACCCCTGATCAGGTATTTAAATTAGTGGATAAACCAAAAACAAATATTTGGTTGTTTATCTGCTAAGGTGCCTTTTAATTTTGTCAAACTGTACTTATGTCATTTGTACATTTTTTGTAATTTGATAAATTAATTCCCCGTGTATCTCTGGTGGATAGCCATGGCTGAACATCATTATCAAAGCTGTCTCTTTACAGCCAAGAACAAACAGATCCAGGGGAGATTAAAACATGTTTGTTCCTTTGTATTTGTGACAATTGATGTCTTACTGTGTGCCTTAAAAGCTCCTCAGTGTCGACCAACATTGTATGTGCAATATGGCAGATCAAAAGGTATTGATCAATGACTACAAACACTGTTCTCTATCACAGTTACCCAGAAGGAGCTTGGAAACGCTTGGAAAGTGACAGATTTTCCTTTCGGTTTGTATTTCAATCACTCTTACATGATAGGTTCCATTTCATAAAAACTAAAAAATCAATTCAACCATAAAAAAATACATTGTAGAACGTAGGAAAGAGAACAATGCACCTTGCCAAACGTTCAAAATTTGAACGCACCTTCCTGAGTGGTATTTTAATCCTTTAGTTTAGGGTATTTGTGCACCTCTAATTGCTAATATCGCGTGTGTGTGCACTTCAGGGTTACTGTCAACTGTGCGCAAAATCACCTGAGAAAAAAACAACCCGCGTTACCTCCACACACAGCATCTCATGCACCATTTACGACAAAAACACGCCTGTATCATGACCGTAAACACACCACTCACGTCTCTGAAGCGGTTCCAGTGTTTGATCTTTCGCCCGTACTGGGAGATGGTTGACAGCCATTGCTCATCTTCCATGAAATTCCCGGCTTTTCCTGCTTCTTTCCCACTTTTCTCGTCCACCTGGAGCGAGAAGCCCACCAGCAGACACAGGCAAGGGACGATTCTTAAAACCACCATGTTGTTCAGGCAGTTTGCTATGGGATGTATCTCCTGCTTTCTGCTGCTGTCCTCCTGCCAAGGATCCACATATAACACTGCCGCTGCTTCAACACACTGAATGTAAATGAGAGAGGAGAGGGAGAGGAGAGGAGAGAGAGGGGAGGGAGGGAGAAAGAGAGTAAAGGAGAGATTAGATCCTGCACTAATCATTTATTTCTGCTTACTTGCTTTCATTACTTCACCGTCTTTTTTTGTTTGTCTGTACGCAGCCCACACACTTATGAATAGTCACGCTGCAAATCAATCGCACAAGTGGAACAGATTATTGTTGAACTGATCATCAATTACAATTGTTTTTGTGTGTGTTATAATGTTTTGGGGAAAATATGCCAATAAATCTCACTGATATGCGCTATAGAATGACTCAATTAAAGAATAAAGTTGGAAGAAATGTTGGAAATCGCTGCAGTTGAGTTTATACCATACGGGCAGTAGTGGCTAAACTGGGATCTGTGGATTACTGAGGGTCAGTGAAGGACTCCCACGTGGCCTCAGGGCAAATCAGGTTACATTTAGCTTAAAATTAGCTTAGCTTAATTCTTAATGTGTTCCCTAGACTTTCAATTTAAAATGACCCAGATCAGGCATCTGAAAGGTGTCTCAACTCCGTTTATTTAGTTTATGCTAATCTACGGTATATCAAAATGTGAACCCTACATTTTATTCTACAGTAGTTTCGTTCCAGTAATTCAGCAGCAACATCACAGTTGAAATAATCCAATCTAAAATGTCACCTTTTTATTTGGAAATGCATTTTAGAGATCAAGTAATGACTGAACCATGCTTTTCCAATAGGCTACATTAAAATAATAGCAGTACAACCCGACACAAAGACATTCCCCCTCAATTAATCATTTGTTTTGCTACCAATTTATCTGCTACTATTTTTTTGATTAATCATTTGATCTATCAACAGTCAGAAAATGCTAATTAGAAAACAATTTCCTGAAGCCCAAAGAAATGTCTTGTTCTGTTCAATGAAAGGTACAAAACGCTGTTCAATTCCCTAGTCAGATTAACAGAGGGCCTCGGGGCAAAAATGAGCCCCTTTGAACTCCCTATTCCCCCCACTACACAAGCAATGTGTGCCTTTTTTTCTAAACGAGTATACTGACCTATGGAACACTGTGTGGTAATTGGATTAAACCGAGATTAGAACAAGTGGGAATTTGCAGAACTACAACCACACATACGCATGCATCCATGTGTTCATGCTTTCCCCCACACACACACAACCGCAGAAACACTTGACCTTCATACCAAATTTCAACCATCTTGGGCGAAAACTATGGCCTTCAAATGCTGGTGGCTTTTTAGTTGAAGGACAAATCGACAGAGCTGCTGGTGGCAGCTAACAAAAGGTCTTAACACTGGATGTATTGACACAGAAAAGCTCTTCAAGGCCTCGAGATTACTGTAGAAATAAAGGAAATGTTGGAGAAATTTGCATCAGAAAACTCATGTCTTTTGCATGTTTTTTACACTTACTGATTTCCATGTAAATCTGTATAACATTTGCCTATTTAATATCCAAACCCTTGACTCATTGACTACCATTTTAAATAACCTTTCATGGTTTGAACAATGATTCTTTGCACAAAACTAGGATGGATTAAAGTGATTAAAGAGGTTGAATGTGCTATAAATGCTGCGTTGATGATACCTTTACTTTTAAACTAGTTATGCTGTACCTGCACATCATTTTTAGTCCACCCACATTATTCCTGCTGCTCCCTAAACTCTCCATGCCCTCGCTTCCTCCGCTCTCAATTTCATCCCCATGAAGATAAACGTAATCCAGCGCTCTGCTCAGATTCTTTGGAGTTTAAGGTTACCAACATTGGCCGAGGCAGAGTAGCCGGGGGCATGATCGTGTTCCTGTGATGCTGATTAGCTTGCCCGACTGACTCTGGCATCAAAACAGCCGATGTGGCACATGCAGGATTTCCTGAGTTTGCACAGCTCCAGAATTGGGAGGCAGAGGGCAGCAGGAGAAATGTCCCGCAGCATCAGCCAGCTGTGCACATCACCAGCACGAGGTGTCGGACATGATGTGTTAATCAAGAGGTCGCCATCAGTCATGTCATGATCAGAATGAATGTGCTGCAGATGACTGGTCACACAGCTGAGTTGGGAAGCATTTAAAAGGACTGTGTTCCGCTTTGCTTCATTAGCTTTTGAAGAGGGTTTGAAAGCAGAGATGTTGTTAGGAGTGGGACTCTGGTCTCCTGAGGAAAACCCACAAAAACAGCAACAGCAAATGGGAAACAAGTTGATGAAAGCTGTGTGGTTCATCTTTTAAGATGCTAAGTTTTAGGGATGAGAAGACTCAACGGATTTTTTTTTTTTGAATTTGCAGACAGCTTTCTTCTGCTCCATCAATATCTGAAGGAGCGGCACAGTGACCAGGACCAGTGATACAGAACATTAGGTACAGGCAAAAAGGATGTTTCGTGCTTCACTGATCAGAGTGAATTGTCAGTCAGAGATCAATGTCTCTACAAGAGAAATCATTTCAGCTGTGATCTGCATCCCCATCCATCCAACAACTTTTGATTGTCGTTTAAATGCACAATTCATTTACATGAGGAATCAAATAGATTCACTTTTCAAAATGCTCAGTGACTATTTGTGCCACTTAATGTTGATGACAGTGGGGAAAAACCTCAGATGCAATGATATTAAGTAGGGGTTTGGCCATATGGAGATAGTGACGATTAATCGTGATGTTTACAAATTGAAATATGTTATCAGTACTGACTTCATTGGTGAGAAGAGTGCTAAAGACAGGTCAAATTCAAAAACGTGTTTAGCTCAGACACTGCAGTTTTTGAAACTATGGTGATACCATTTATAGATTTGCCTGTCCCACTGTTTTGGCGAAACTTGACCCACTTTACCATGCTGCACTGCGTTACATATCAAATGCACCCTATAGGACTCATCATTGCACACTGTATAGCCTAACTGGATGGTCCTCACTTACTATGCGTAGGATGCAGCACTGGTTTTTATTCATGTATAAAGCCATTTTAGGTAAGCTTCCACTCTACATATGTGTCAGATTTGCCCCAGTTTGCGACTCTTACAACCTCAGATCCAGTGCCTGGATACGGTTCCAGGTACCTACTGTACGGACTGAGGCTGGAAAAAAAGAGTCTTTCTTATTATGGTCCTTGGTCTTGGAATGACCTTCAATCAAGCCTAAAACTGATGGCACTTGTCTCTATATCATGTTTTAAATTGAAGTTGTCTGAAGTCCTCACCACCAGCTGCTCTTGCAGTAACAAGTAGTGTACTTTTTTTACTGTCCTAATGTGCACAATGTAGTGACTGCTTTTTCGTCTTTTGTTTTCTTAGTTATGTTCTCTGTATTTTATATGTTTGTGTTATGTGTTATGTGTAACGTTGCTGCCTTCTTGGCCAGGTCAGCATTGAAAATGAGATTTTATCTCAATGTTTTTATCTGGTTAAATAAAGGTTAAATAAATAAAAATAAAATTTGTCATGAATGTAGCTACGAAAAAAGAAAAAAAACATTATTTTTCCTGCCTACAGAGCTCTGATTGATTGACAGTTTCACCCTTCTACAGAAACAGAGAGCTCTACAGCAGACCTTAAAGGGGACCTATCATGCAAAATGCACTTTTGTACGTCTTTTATACATGAATATGTGTCCCCGGTGTTCCAGGGAACTCACCAAGTGTCAGATAACACAACCCTCTCTATTTTCCTCCATACCCAAATCTCTAAAAAAGGGGCTGCAACGGATCTGATAAAAACTGATTCAGATTTGAACACTGTCCTGACGTCAGGACGGTGGCGCTACGGCTATTGGGCCAACTCCACCAATCAGGAGGAGACAGCCACAGCCATTGCCGTTCAAAAGCGCTGGAGACGCTGTAGTACATATGCCAGGCCTGTAAGTGGCGCTGTAGTCTGCCACAAAAGCAGCGAAGAAGACTTCCCGTCCATAGTTACCATGGTTACCCTTCTGTTTATTCTCCGCTGTGGCTTTTTTTCTCCCTCCCCGAGGCAAGCGTTTGCTCCCGCTGCAATGCAATCCCTCCCCGTCGAGGCAAGCACTGTAATTCTCTCCGGTTAGTCCACCAGCAGATGACAAACACCCACCTCTCCGCCTCTTCCAAGGAACGAGGGGACCGTGCGGCAGAGTTTCAGTTTCAGTTTGTTTCGCCGGTCAAGATGTCCGTTAAAGTTTAAATCTTCCGGACAAAATTTGAAAAGTGCCGGTCAAAGGTCTTCTTTGTTATTTATTGAGCTTTAAAACAAATGAATAACGACTCTATATAATAAAACACGGAGGACGGAGACCTCTTTTTCTCCCCCTCTTCTGACAGCCCAGCAGCTGATCAGAGCACGTCTCCCCTCTCCAGCAGGGGGGCGTGGTCAGCAGAATCAGACCCGTAGACAGCAAACAGCACATAGAGCAAAATGAGGCATGGCTAAAATGCATGATCTGTTTGGTATTTTGAAAACAGAAACGTATAAATATACCTTATATAGGTATGGCCCTACAATATATCATTTAAATATAGCATGATAGGTCCACTTTAAATCACTGACCAAATCAGATGCTCTTAATCAGCTACCTTATTCAGTAAAACAAGTGTGTACATATTCTCACATGATATAACTGTCCCCTAATCTTGTATTAGAAATGCAAGCAGCTACACTTAACTAGTTCAACATATTGTTGTACATATCAGAGCTACGCTGTGGAAGAGTGCCTTTTAAGGGATTAACTGATGTCATCAGTTCGCTGTGTATCTCTCTAGGACGATGTTGATAAAACTTATCTATCCTGTTCACCAAGCATAAATCAGTTTTCACAAAAGGAGTCGGGGGGGAGGAAAGCTTAATTTGAATAACATCAGACATGACAGCATGTAGAAACACGTAGAGGCGTTTGCTTATCTGTAAATATTAGCAGTGTACAAATGTAAACACATGCCTTCTGTGTCTTACGAATAAGGCTCCGCTGCTTATCGAGGCTGTACATATTCTCACGTGATGTAACAACTCCGCCAGGATCGCTTCAGGAACTACAACAATTAATTGCAACAGGCCACGGGTGGATGCTTTGCACATTTATTTATTCCTGCCAGAATGTTAAAATGTAGCACCTCTTCCAGCATGAAGGAAAACATAACCCCAACAAATGTTCATTTTCCAACTGAAAAAATCAGCTAGGATGACACGCTGTTGTAAATCCATTCATGTTCATCATCTGGTGTTTCCCACAATGCTTCGCTCTCAACGGAGAGTTGCTTCATGCTGCTGCCGTGTTCATCCATGACCTGCAACAACAATAAATCAGGGTTTAATATTTACTATACTAGGACTTCAAGTAATGGTTATTTTAATCTACAATAACTGTGTTGACTGATAGAACAATATGTTATTTAGTCTATGAAATGTCAGAAAACAGGGAAAATTATCCAAGGAGCCATATTTGGCCGTGTTGCCTGACCAACATTCCAATACCCAAAAGATTTCAATTTTCAATGATATAAATCAAACTAAAGCAGATAATCCTCACAGTTGAAAAGCTGCAACAAATGAAGGTTTGACGTGTTTGATAAATGGCTAAAACGATAAATCAGATGTTGAGTGATTTCTCTCTATGAATTTATTGAATAATCTGACTAATGACAGAAGGGGTTAGATGACAGTTTTCAAATAATTAGTAACAGTATTAAGGCAAATACAAACACTAATACACACAATAGAATTAGTACAACTTTATACATCTCAGTGTGTTAAGATTCTTTGATGCATCGAGTCATATCCTTTATATTATTTTTTGTAATTAACTCGAGTATGTTCCATCTGTATGTTGTTATTTTTAAGCACAAGCCTGTACCAAAATGCATTAAACATTGATGACACAATAAAACAAACCCCTTTCTGCTTCTGAATTTCTTCTACAACAGCCCCCAGTGCTTGTTTGCAGTTACTTCTGTGAACGGGGCTACCACTGCAAAGTGACGGTGCATGAAGAGAAAATGGAGCCTGAAAGCAAGTTCCTGGGTGGGAGAACCATCAAAAGAAGTGATTTTGAAAGTTCAGGAAAGAATAAACCACATCGGGAGGCATTTAATAAGTAATCTCGAGTGACTTACAGCTGTAAGTGGAGCTGCTTTAAAACGTGTATAGATCTAATTCAATTGGACTCAAACTGGGTCACACAGCTATTATAAGTGCAGAGTTAGTTGAGAGCAGTCTGACAGCAGTTTGCATTTGCAGGGAAAGCAAGGTAGGTGCTGTTTTTCACTGCAGGCTGCTGCAGCATGGGTGGAACAGAGCGTAGCAACTTTTCAATTAAATGAACACAAAAGACAGAAGCTGGCAAATATTCTGAACCCTGACATACTCAGTCTCAAAGATTATTTATTTTCAGTCTGCATATCCAGCTTATACTAGTCACTAGAAATGACAAATCCCCATCAGTTTCGCTACTCTACATCCTACCAATAAATAACAGCATTAAGTGCTGTGTGACTAGATCTGAAAGACTTTGGAGGGGATGGAGAAAACAAAGGATTTGTTTACAGTATCCGACAGAGTGAGTTTACAGCAGTGAAGCTCACAATGTCTGCATATTAAACCTGCATCGATCAAGGTGTTAGCGACTAGCTGGTGAAGGTATGGAGCGTTTAGCTGCTAAAGCCAGTGTTTCCCTCATGAGTTTTGGAGGAGTTAAAATCAGAGATAAAAAGATTGGGATATTGGACTTGTATTTGTCAGGTGGCCAGAAACAAGACTCCAGAAGAATGGAAATGCTTCCCCCTCTATACTTATTCGGAAATGTAGCTAACAAATTCTCTATAATATCGTAGTTGTGATACGTTCGGTTTACAGCTTGTTTTGCCCCCAAGCTGACAGAAAATCAAGTAATGCTGCTTTCATTTCTTCACTTGAATAATTTCAAATGTAAACAAAGATTGTTATCCAACCTCCTCAATCCTTAAGTTGGCAATGCTAAATACACTTATTTTAAGTATTATTGGGAAATGTATTCACTCCCCAATGATTCTTAATTTAATTGAACAGTTAATCATTTAATAAATGTGTAAAGTAAACATGTCAAATATTAACTAGTTCCAGCTCCTCAAATACGAGAAATTGCAGCTCTTAGTGAAATTTGAATACCTTTTTCCAAGCAGTTTCTGAAGTGCAGTGCCTAAATAAGTGTAATGACGCCAATATGCCGACCTGCATAAGTGTGGTGTGGTGGTGTTTTGTTTCCAGATAACAATATGTGTCTGTGCAATAAACTTAAAAAAACATTTTCAGAGGTATACAACTGGAAATAACATATTAGATATGACAATAAATATTACAACAAAACAAGCATTTTTAACATTGCTGAATTGTTGGTCATATTTCAATATTTTTATTTATTTATTTATTCATCAGACAATTATCAGAACAAAGTAACAGAGATGAAGGGATAATGGAAATGTGTTGTTGCGCTGTTTTAAACCCTCCCTGTGCAAAGTGTACAGGGAGTAAACAGCAGCTCTGAATGACTACCTGCTGTTCAAACACACTGGGCTTTGTGCCTCTGCTCCTGTGTGAATGCCTCCAGCATCAACAGACGTGGACAGCTGCACTCTGAATGATAAAGAGCTGCAGCAGGGATCACCTGCCTCCTCGCAGGAGACGCACATTAGACATTTCAAATACTCTCACCCTGGCTGTCCATCAGGACCGCTCATGCCCATTAGTGACAGAGTGATTAGTGTGACATTCAAACGGCACTGACACTCAGCTGGAGTCACATCCAACATGAGAGCACAATCAAAGGGAGGCGGGCTGGCGTATATCAACACTAACAATATCCAATTTGAAAGATTTGCCTGCTTTGTCGAGCGGGATGAGTAATATAGCACCTTTGTAACTTCTCCTGGATAGACGTGTTTGATCCATCAAAAGATCTCCTTTAAATAATCTAAGGATTCAAGCTTGTTAGGGTGAAAACATGACACCAGGAATACAAAGCTACCTACTGAAATGTCATCTTAGCAGCTTCCTGCTGTCAAACTCACACTTTCAGTTAATTGGATTTGGATTTAATATTCTATGAACCTGATCAACCCTCGTGCTTTAGACTAGAGAGCTCAATCGATTTCATGTGGGCTATTACTCAGAGCAAACAAATCGAACATATCTACTCTTTTAAAAAAGGTCACGTCTGTCAAACATATATCTTTTTTCCAGCGCTCTGAATGAACATTTTGAAACACCCGTTATGAGAACAAGAAAGCAAAATGTGCAGAAAAAAAGGTTGATATGGAACAAGTAAGACCTATTTCCAACAGCTTTTGCATAAAAAAGGCTAATTTGGAACTTGAATTAAATTAAATATGCAAATTAGATAGAGGCCTAAACAATGCTTGGTTGAGGTTACACAAGATTGCCGTTAACAACATGAGTGAATTCTCATTATAAAAGGTTCACTGTAAGTTTAACAGGGCTCACTAAGAGATTGCTTTGCTTTCACTTGTTTCAAAATGGCTGCTCTTTATTTCTCTTCCTTTAACATAAGGGGAAAATAGTAATGTGAGTTTTTATCAACTGGTTGTACTTTGCAAGGGCTTGTTTTCTGTGCCTGTAGCCTTCTTCTAATCATAAAGACTATTTGACTTATGAATGCATGTAAACAAAAATATACACAGATGCTGAAAAAGTAACTTAATCCTTAGTTAACATTTTTAATTGAAAGCCAGCTCCCGTGTCTCCTCAGATCTTTCAAAATAAGGATGCAGATCCACAGAGAAAAAAAGGTATGCAGGAACACAAACAGACACAGAGGTCTCATTAATCTGTCTTATTGAAAGGGACGTATGCTAGTCTCGAAATCTCAAGGGTCCGGTGGGACGTTCCCACAGCAGGAAGCACGGAGATGACTAATTAGGGTGAGAAATGTGGCGGGGACAGAAAAAAGATGTACTGTATGTCAGGCAGTGCGTAAGCAAACTCACCCACACAGACAACATACGGTAGCAGCATGATTTGGTTAAGTCAATTCAAATCATTACCCCCAACAAAGATAAATCTGTGGAAAACAAACAAAAAGTGTATGTACTATTTTGTTACATGTATTGTATGTGACTTAAATGTATATATCAACTAAGGAAGCCTCTCAAATGTAAGAATCTTTCATTGTTCTGTTGTATATCGTCGTAGATTGAAAATTCTATGGGTTTTAGCCTGTTAATTCGACAAAACAAGTGATTTAAAAACGTTGCTTTACCCCATCAATAAAAAGTATTTCAACATTCAATGATTGTAGGTACAATGCAGATATACGTGTTGTAATAAAAACCTAATGAATGACAAAATAGTCAAAACAAAGCTGTAATAATTTAAATTATGTCTCTGAGAAGTTTAATCGGTGCCAAAGCATGTTGTTGTCATTATATGCTCATAATTTGACTATGTGAGTTATGAACAGTTCATAAATTGTTCATTTTGTGCTTAAATGCTCATTTTTACTATGTTCCATTTCACATATTATAGTACTAAATGATTGTTATTCAAACATTTAGGAAATATTTACTATTATTGACCGATATTGAGAAGTAATCCCCCTCGTCCAATATATTCCTACTCTATGCATCAAAACACAAGCATGGTGATTTAAGTAAACAGAAACCCCAAACATCTTATATAGAAATCTCTAAAATGGAATATGTCCGATGTCGGATGTTACTTCCAGTGTTTTCAGTGTGATCATTAGTGAAGACATCAGGCCAGCACATCCTAAATCATGTCCCTGCCAAAAGACACGAGGATGCATATTCTCAATGAATTCTATTAACTTACAAATCCTCTTCTCTCCCTCTCTGTGTGTTTATGAGCAATACTATTGGCAGAATCCTCACTGTATCTGTTACCTGAGAGTGGCGTTATGCTGGATGTGTACTCCTGACCCACTAACAAGCATGCTCTCAGGAGACAGGAAGTGGATAATTAGGTGCCTCCCTTGAGTCTAGAAAGATACATTTTAGACCCAGACAGTGGCACAGTAAGTGCACGGACGGCTCTGCTGGCTGACTCAATTTGCATGTCCCTGTCTAATGGCGTCTGTTGACATGGCTCCAGGGGAACAGGGGAGGGTGGACAGCATGGGATGGCAGAGCTGACAAACAAAAAGCACCCTCACTTTCCATCAGTGTAACTTTGGCTGCGCTGCGATCGCCCTTCTGCATGCCAAGCAGAGCACATCGGCAGCTGAGGGGAAGGCTGAAAAAAAAAAACTCTGACGTGGAGAGCAAGAGGCTCTGTGTCCGATGTCTGTATTCGGTGACACATTCGACAGACGGGAGTGGGAACAAGGTTGTGGCTTCGTCAGGCTAGGGCACTGATAAGAAAGATGGAGGAAGAAAAAAAACCTGGTGCAATAAATCATGTCAGTGACGCATCAGCACATTCATGAGGCAGAGAGATGAAAGGAAATGGGTAGAACTTGCTTATGATCAGTGTGAAAACAGAACCTTTCACAACAGCTATGAAAGTTTTCTAGTTTGGCACACGGTGTTTACTTTGAAACTTTCTGAGTTTCTCAAAATGATTGGCTGAAAAGCGGTTGAAAAAAACTTTGACCAGCTATAGCAGCTCAAATTATTCAGAAAATGCCATTATAACTGACTTTCAAACTGGATGTATACGAGATGTACCAGGCAATAATCTCACAAGAATGGACATGTAGGCACATTTTGACAGAAAGTAGGGTAACACTGTATTTGGATGTTGATACTTACCAGGTGACAACAAGTAAATGTTCAAACAGGAAGAAGATCCTTTAGGTAAGTTTAAAGAAGTCCTGATGTCCTGGCTCCAAAATGTAAATGAAGCATTGTCTGTGAAATGTACAGACTAGTGTGTTAGCAGCATAGCTACGCAAGGTGGAGCTAATTGTAACTAAATATACTGCTGGCTGGTTTCCTCAATAACAATATTTAATTGTATGTACATTCTTAATCAGTTGTGTATGTAAAATATGACAATGCAAAGTCACTATTCCCACAAAACGAATGTAGTGGAGTAAAAAGTACAATATCTGCCTCTGTTTCTCAAAATTGTCCTTATGTGCAATACCTGGGAAAATGTAATTGGTTGCATTAAGCACTATGTTTATCAAAATGTCCCTTTTATAGAAATTTTTCCCAGTTTTACAAAAATCTACCCTGATAGCCCTGGAAATATAACCGGATCCACGACTGTTTGAACAAACATTTTGCTGCTTTAGATCTTCAACAGTCCAAATTCACACACAAAGGCATCATCTCCTCCTCTATGATAACAGTTTTGCCCACAAGGTAACATTATTCTACTGGTACAGTGATACTAAATAAAAACTATCCATTGTGAAGAACAAATCCCAAATGGTCAAGACAGAGATTTTTTTAATGTTGATTTTTGCTTTTGTCATGTTTCTTTTTGATTGTCTGTTCCATTGAAAAACCCATTTATCGTTTACTTTGATGTCATTTGCCTCAAACTCCCTGAAGAGAACCAAAGGACTGCACACTAAAGTACAAAAATAAAAGATTTGACTATGGAGCCTTTCAAATAATTTGAGAGCGTGTTTCATATCAAGTCTAAATGCTTGATAATGTCAATCATTCTAAACTAGTGATCATTTTATTTTTTCCTGCATAAATTGTTCCCATAGAGTTTTAGAAAACAAATCATTTGATTCAAATAGATAGGTGGAAGGAGGCATTTGCAAAAACAAAAAAGATCTTTGCTGCCACTTACTGGACACTGCCATTATAACAGCTTCAGCTAACCAAAAAGGTTTTTTATTTTTTATTTCCCACCTCAGAAAATGCTCGTCCGTGTAGAAGCTCATGAGACGTTGGCGCTCCCTGCAGAGGTGTAGTAGCCCGTACAGTCTGAGGAATATCTCTGGGACAGCAGCACCGTATTCAACCCAAACTCTCCAAAATGATAAGCACCAAATTTCTGTAATGAAAAACAGAAAACGTCTTCAAATAATTAAATATAAACGTATACTATACAAAGCCTCAACACCATTATAAAACCATATTCCCAGATTTAAAAAAAGTAGTCCCAACTATCAAGGATTTAGATAGTAAGCACTTTGCTTGAAGAGTCGACCTTACTCGTTAAACTCTGTCACTCGTTACCATGGTTACTGGGCAAGTGAGAGTGGTAAGCACCCTTGTGTCATTTTCAGAGAAGATAAAATGAAGGGTTTTGTAATTCAAACAAACATGTTGTCTGCACCACAGTGGAGGGAAGGTGAATTTGAAGCTGTTTTTATCTGCAGATTCAACTGGGTGTCACATTTCAGTCGTCACACACAAAGAAACCACAAGTGCTGCTCACAAAATAAAAATCAATCCAAACCCTCCTCTTTGAGCTTTAAAGGTACGCTCTTCTTCTTTCACATAACAGCTTTAATCAATATACTCTGGAGCAGTACATCTCTCCACCTAATAGATTTTTTAGCACCTTATATTTTAGCTTGGTTTGTTAAATGTTAAAAATCTTAAGCCAGTACTGAGGGAATAAACATCTGAAAACCTACAAAGGGACACATATGACAAATCTTTCTGATAATTTTTGTAATTGTAAGCTGCATTATAACTATTGTTTATATATGTTTTAAGAAAGGACAATGCACATTAATGAACATGAGCCTTTGAGTCCATCATGTAAATGTAGCAGATTTAGCCAATAAAGCTAATTTTCATCTGCAGTCCCTGGCAGGTTGATGGCATTAAAAGAAAACAAAAGGAAAGATTGACACATGAGCACAATGACGGCACATAAGCACAGGCAAACACACTTTGTACGTTTGTTTTGAGAAGAGCAGTATAAATATAGTTTATAAATAAAAAAAGATTCCTATTATTGCTATAGGTTTCGACTGAAGAGGGTCTTAATAGTTTGTGATACATGTACATCCAATTAGGAGAGCAAATAGCTTTCTCTTACAATTCAACTGCCTACATGTTGTGCACGTGTAGCAGAGACCCTTTTTGATCACTTCTTCACATGTTTATACACATCTATGCAATACGATGTTTCCTGTTCCACACCAGAGGACAAAAAACCCACAACAGGGCTTTTAAAAGACATTTTTACATGTAACAACAAGAAATAAAAGATGGCTGATTTCCACTTAGCTGCATCAGGTTCAGGGTCTTTGTATTGTGAATGCTTGATCACTGTCACAGCTTATTGTAGAACATAACAGAGCCTTATTTGTAACACCTGTGCTTTTCCTACAGTATCAAGTCAAAATGTCTGCTGTAAATAAACATTTATATAGGCCTTACTATATAAATGTTCCAACTAAAACTGAGTATCATGTATTGAAGATAACAGGACTGGAGATTTAAAAACTAAAAAAGTGAATTAAAATTGGGGCAACTCTAACTGGCTTCTAAGTAAATCAGGTGAGCTAATTACATTTTGCAGCTGGTCTGGGAACATAATCATTTAATACCAGCCTGAAATCAAAACACCATTACGATGGGTAGGAGTGAGTCGGCCCTAAAATGAACTCTATTACCCTTTGTGCATGCTAGAGTGGTATTAAAATGTTCCCCTGCAAAAACCTTAATCCCTCTTTTTGAAAGGCCTATTAATAAGCTCTCATATCCAAATGCTACTCCAGAAGCAGCTGAAATGTCAACAGCAGTTAAAAGCATACAAACAGTGTGTTGAATGTTAGCACAGTGTTGCAACAGTTGTGTGGTGCAAGGTTTAAATAGAGCATTCAGAAGTTTACTTTACCCCTTTTCTTTTACGAATTGAACCACAATTATTTGATCTAAATGTCTTTTGAAGAGTACTTTATTGCCAAAATGATCAAGTTCTCATTCATTACCTTGAATTTGAGAATAAAACGTTGTTTCTCATGCATACCTGAACGGTGAACGAAGAATCCAAAACATTAGGAAAATGATTGCTGTAGTAAATGGGAGCTGTCTTAAAAACAACAGCAAAACAACCGCTTACCAACTCTCACACACTTTGTGCAGTATAATACATAATACAAGCCTCATTTATCCAGTTCACTACTTCCCAAACATGTGCATTTTTAAGTAAACCTTACCTAAACTTACATTTTTTTACAGTTTTTGCTGTAGTCCAACGTGGCACCAATGAAATGCAAGAAAAACTGTGTTTTTTTATCATAAAATGTTCTTTTTGGGGTTGAAGTGTTTATATCTGGACTATTGACAGGCAATTTTTCATCTGGCCTATAAAAAAACCCTTCTAAATCCCCATGTGTAATCGCATCTGGTATTGACATCAGTGAAGCAGTGAGCACAGGTCTGGATGTTTCTAATGCTGCAGTATTTGAAGGTGCAGGAAGGAGTGAGTTTCCTCTAACCTTTAATATGTTTCTGGCATCAAAAGCCTCTCGTTCACTCATGGTTTGTCTCCCTGGGCCGCCTGCTTCTTCAACTGAAAAACACCAGAGTGTAAAAGACAAGCTAAACAGTGCAGCACTGAACAAAGAAAACAAATAACTTATGTCATTAAGTTGCTGCTACAGTGGAGCAATAACAAGGTGACAATCAAGGGCATTCAGTTGTGAAACAGGGACTAAGGAGAAGAAATAAACACTGAATGTTAATCGTCTGGCAAACACGATCAGCAGTGACAGGCCCCCTCCCTTGGGCTGTGTTGTTGGTCAGCTCAGTACAAATTTGAGAACTGGGGCTGGACTTTATCCATGGCCAAACTGAATGAAGCCATTGTCAGAGTACTTGGAAAACACGGCCGCTTGGCGCACGTAAACAGAGCTGTAGCCAAACAGAGATCTGGCTGCCTGTCGGGTATATTCAGGAATTTGTTGTTGCAGTTGTTAAAGGATTCAGCGTTGTCGTAACTCCAGCTCAGGTCAACGCCAGAAGATAATAAGGGGACATTGGCAAATAGGGTGAGGGGAAGAGCTATCAATGTGGTCACACAACAGATCAACAACTACTGGCAAATATACTGCTCGCATGTAATGTCTCTACCTGAGTCCTTTCTGAACAGAGTGTTTATGACGGTGCCGTGCAGCTTCACTCTGTCCCACTCTCTCACCATCAACCCTGCGGAGACAAAGTGCTCCACCAGCCGGTCCGCCATCAGCTGCAACCTGAAGAGCAGAAATACATAAAAAAATATGACGTGTCAATTTTGTCCATGTATTTATTTTTTCACAGGATATTTGTATTTATTGCGCCTGGCTCGGTTCATTTTTCAGCTTCTTTGAGGTTGAATAAAATGTTTCTTGCATCAGAAACATTTACATTTAATGTTTTTTACTGCAGACAGATATGTATGTATGTAATAATGCAGTATATGAGTATGCATTTCTATATCATTTATTTTTCTGTCTTTAGCGTAGGTTGTGGGATGTGTGTGGATGTCTGTAAAAAAATAAACGTGTACTTTTTGTAATATAAGAGAAAAATACGTTATACAATATATATAATACATATGTTTTGTATTACTTTAATTCATTGCTGAATGGTTGATTGTATGTGTCCATCTCTTTGGTATAAAAATAAAAATACATTATTTGATCACAAATATTATTTTCTCCATAGGATTTGTTATTGATCCACTTACTTGTCAGATTTGTCTTTCGTGTTGACTTTGGCATACAATACATCCACCATGGCCGGGTCATCATTCATGTACTCTATGCCCGTCACCTCCAACGCCAGAGGGTTTCCTTCTGTGATGTCCCTGATGGCGGACAGCAAAAAAAAAAAAGAATTGTGACCCACCTGGCACATTTTTCAGACCCTAAATGTTGAGCAAGCAATAAACTGGAATACAATGGTCTTTTTGTAATACTGTGTTGGAATCTAATCTATTATTTGTGTTGTTTATGCGAGTTCACTTGTTATTCTAACTAATCTAATCATTATTATGTAATCTGCTCCAACCATTCTGTGGCCCAGATTCGCTTTGTTACTACTAAGATACGAATACTTAAAAATGGGTCACAAATGTACAGCCAAGTAGATTAAGCATATGTTACAGTACACACCATATTTGTTGGGGACTATTTTCTGCTATGGATTTGGTGCCCTAGTAAGTATTAACAGCAGCGAAATGGTATATTCAGGTTTGACAACAAATAAATAAACTACAGTCCACACTTTGTTAGTAATGAAGGGACACCAAGTGCAACAGTGTGGTTCACTATTTGTGTTTGATGTGCGTTTGTTTCTATGGCATAAAGGAACTTATTTCAGGCTTTGGTTACAGCAACAATACTTGTGTGTAGGATCAGCTCATTGCTAGTTTAAATGGGCTTTGTTAACAACGTTTTAAATACAATCTGTTCCTAGATTATGCCTTAAAGCAGTATATGTTGTTTTGTTTCCCAACAGTATTCCAAAAATAACTGTGTTTTTGTTGTTGTTGTCACAGTCACACAACTTGTTTGGCCCTTACCGGATAAAGTTTTGACACTGTTGGAGGTGTTCACATGCTTTTCTCACTTCTGTTTCATTTAACAGAGCAAGGGTGCCGATTGTCATGTGAAGCTTTGCAGGGTTCTGAAAGATGCTCCCCTCAACTCCATGATCCTACACACAAATTTAAAAAGATTTGTAAATACAGAATTTATTGAGGATATAATGTGCTGATCTTAGACAAGACACCGCCCTTGCCCCTCATCATTGCAACATGTAGGTTTCCTTCTACAGTACCTGTGAGCACTGCTTCAACACCTCGTCTTTAAAGGTCAGGAATCCTTCTTGGATTTTGGGATTACTCAAAGGGAATGACAGGAAATGTGTGAAAGGCTGCTTCTTCCGGAAACTCTCAACAAGGAGCTCAACACGTGTGACTGCAGATGAGACTGCAGCTTTATGGGAACCTGTGATAACTGTCAGGCAGAGAAAGAAAATTAAAGAAAATATTTTTGTTTCAGAAAGTGTTTTATTATATAGTTCATTCTCACCAATCTCCCCCTCCACTCCTTGTTTTGGGATGCTGATAGATGTCTTTGTGTCAGACTCCAGGCGTCTCCGTGTCTCTCCTTTTTTTCCAATGATGTATCTGCAGAACAAAAACATTATGCTGTTTATAAACAAAACTTCTTGTGCTTTTCAAATTAGGGATGATACACAACAATCCAAACATGTGCATGTTGTTGATAACAACTCACTTGTAAAGAACACTTGGGACTTCAATAGCACAGCGGTATCCTTTATCAGTCTGTTCAATTAACTTTGTGTCACAGGCTTCATCTTCTTCGAGGTATTCACTCTCTAACCAAGTTGAACACACATTTATATTACATACATTTATATATTATTGTGTGAGTCTTTGATAGGGAATTGTGGCCACAGGCTGACAGCACTCTGTGACTAAAAAACAGTTGCTACCACTGACAGGATTCAATTACCTGGTGGCCCCATGTAAGACACATCTTCTTCTTCTTCCTCATAATGTTCCTCCTTAGAGTCCATAGTGACATTCCTCCGGTATATTCTCCCATTTATATTGATAAGAGCTGGTCGTAAAACGTCCATAATGTAAAGCAGCTAACGTTAGCTCAACCTAAGCTAACCCAACAACCTAAGTAAATCTCAGAACTGCTCGCTATAAAGTGAGCTAAATGCTCAAGTTAGCAGCCAAGTAAATAAGCTTATTTTGCTTTAAAAACACTTATTTTGCCACGGAATAACTTAACTAGTGAGTTGACACATTGGTTTATGTGCTGTTCGGCAGACAGGGTCCTGGGTTGACGTTTAGTAGATCTACAAACGGAAATTAACAATCACTCCTGAGAAATCATCCAGGCGAAACATCCACATCACTGTTAAATCATAGGCACGAATGCCGTAGCATAAACGTAAAGTGCTGTCCTTGCCGTAAAGTAGTGGCAACAGATCTTAACAAACAACAGAACCAACTGCACGGAATCAAAGACGAAACACATTCATAACTGAGACATCGGCAGTAAGTTTTATTGTTTTCAAAATGGTTGTTATTGCTGTGTTTTATTCAGTAGTATTCGTGGTAAATGGCAGTTGCCTACATCAGTGCAACAAGAATAGTTAGCTTTCTTGCTAGCCACCTAGCATAGTTGTCGCAGTTAATACATTGGATATTTGATTGTACCATTTCTATTTAGATTAGAAAACCTACACAGTTTAGCTATGTTAGGCATGTGTGGCTATGGTGATAATGGTAGCAGTCCATACCTGTGTTCAACAAATGATATGTGTGGTAACCACAGCCACAGTAGCATAACAGCTAATTTTCTTGATGTGTTTTTGAAAGTTTTCTGAGGCAATGGCAGCATCTTCCTCGTCCTCCTCTGCGGGAGGGGTCAGCGGCAGCTCGGTGACCGGTTCTGGGTTCAGTGCTTCAGAGCTCATCCCTCCAAGGAAAGTCCTGTACACATATCCTAAAGGTGCAGGGGAAATGATGGAAGGTGAGATAAATGCTGTGTATGTAATGTATTATATGTAATTTATTATATGTAATGTCTTGTCTTTTATCTATGTAATGTCTTGTCTTTTTTCTGAACCCTGAGTCTGTAATAAAGTTTTGATTGATTGATTGAAATCCCACTGTTAAATGCATCTGTCTTTACCTATCTCTCTTTTTCCAACAAGGCAGGGGATATGGGGGTCATACAATGAGATATAGTTAACATATTAGGCTGCATTGTCAAAGTCAGCTTTATTGTCAAGAATTCTACATGTTGTACATCCAGAAATATCGAAATATCGTTTCCCGCAGTCCTACAGTGTGACATATATACATCAAACAAAAAACAAAAAGGGCCTAGATAAACATGGTATACATTAAACAAAACAAAGGGCCTAGATAACCGGGGTATACAGTTTAAAATGTTAATAATATAATTTAAGTGTTCAAAGTACAGTTTCAGTGCAGTAGCAGCGGAGATGGGCAGAAAAGTGAGTTAGGGGGTTAGAGTCCAGGACCATTTGGGGCAGGGGAGAAAGGTCGGAGGCAGGGTGGAGAGTTCAGGGGAGAGATGTCATACCCCTTTCACACCAACGGTGTTTCAGGGCCGGTTCGGTGCTGGTGCTTGAAAAGCACCGGGTTTTCCTGTTCACACCGCAGCGGAGCAGCGTCATAGCTCCGGAATCCGGTTCGTTTCGAGCACCAAAAAGTTGTCCGTCTAGAAGCAAGAACCGCATACGTCACGCTTACGTCGGAGGGGGGCGAGATTAACCTGAGCTAACACTTAAGGCGAGTACGGCAAATAAAAGTTGTAACAAGCAGTAGTGCTGAGCAAAGTGACTAGAACGCAACCACACACTTGTTAAAAAAAACACACTTTATAAAGTCAGGCAACACTAACCAGGCTTCGTGTGATTCTGTTTATTTGTACCTTACTTTGACCATCCGTTCGCTGTTATTGATCATTGTGGAGAGCAGGCAGACGTTTTGTTTGTTATTATAGCAGCTATCGGATGGAATCAATACATGGGCTGCACAGGTTGTCATGTCCGACTAAGTAGAATCATAATGAAAAATACGTCGGTAAAAAGTGCCTGTAGAAAACTGCTTAGCAAGTAGTCAGTTTAGCTTCGGTTGCTATGCTAACATCACCCATGTTATACCAGAGAAACTTTCATAACAGCGTTGTGATGCCAAACAGCGTCAATTCAGACTGACACACATTCACTTAAGGGGAACTGGGGATATGTATCAGCTGCTTGTGTGACAGTCAGACAGTGAATACTTTAGAGCCGTGTGAGCTAACCCGGAGCTAACGGGAGAATACACTCCCGTTGAAGAGCAGCCGGCCAGCACTGCAGCGGTCGGTAAATGCCGCTGAAACACATTAATAAACAATGAACCACGGCACTCTGGAGAAAAGTATAAGGTTGGAGAAGTCGTTATTTAATTTAATCTGGCTTCGTATGATTAAAAGCAACGCAGTCCCCGGCCCGTTGTTGTGAGGTGAGCTCCGGCGTTGGGGAGAAACTCAGCGACGTAAACTGTGACGTCATGACGCAGCAGCGGCAGCACCAGTCGGGCTCTGAGCGGTGTGAAAAGAGCCGGCGCTAAACCGAAGAACCGGTTCTGAACCAGAAAAGCTCTAGCACGGAGCTTGAACCGGAGTTGCGTTGGTGTGAAAGGGCAGAGAGGGGGAGAGAGTTCAGCATCCTGACCGCCTGGTGGAGGAAGCTGTTGCACAGCCTGGAGGTGCGCGAGCTGAGGCTGAGGAACCTTCTTCCTGAAGGCAGGAGGCTGAAGAGGCTGTTGGAGGGGTGGGTGGAGTCACCCACAATGCTGAGTGCTTTGCGGGTGAGGCGGGGTGTTGTATATGTCCTGTAGTGATGGGAGTGAGGCACCGATGATCCTCTGGGCAGAGTTCACTATGCGCTGCAGGCTCTTGCGGTCGGCGGCGGTGCAGCCTCCGAACCACAGCGTGATACAGCTGCTGAGGATGCTCTCGGTGGCGCCTCGGTAGAAGGACAGCATGATGGGGGGTGATGCTCCGGCTCGCTTGAGCTTCCGGATGAAGTACAGGCGCTGCTGGGCTTTCCTCGCTAGAGCGGTGGTGTTGTTTTTCCAGGTGAGGTCCTCAGTGATGGTCACACCAAGGAATTTGGTGCTGGTCACCTGCGTCACAGCAGCGCCGTTGATGGTCAGGGGGAGAGGGGGTCAACTATCTCCTTTGTTTTCTCCAGGTTGAGGAAGAGGTTGTTGTTTTGGCACCACAGGGCCAGCTGGTTCACTTCCTTCCTGTAGTTAGTCTCATCGTTGTTGCTGATGAGACCCACCACAGTAGTGTCGTCTGCAAACTTCACGATGTGGTTGGTGCTGAAGATGGGTTTGCAGTCGTGGGTCAGCAGAGTGAAGAGAAGGGGGCTGAGCACACATCCTTGGGGGGCCCCCGTGCTCAGTATGAGGGTGTCTGAGGTGTTATTGTTGACCCGTACAGCTTGTGGTCTCTGTGAGGAAGTCCAGCAACCAGTTGCAGAGAGAGGGGCTGGGGCCCAGGTCTGTAAGTCTTTGTACAAGCTGCTGGGGGATGATGGTGTTGAATGCTGAGCTGAAGTCTATGAATAGCATTCTGACATATGGGTCCTTAGACTTAGTCTTAGCCTTAGTGTTAGTGTCCAGGTGTGTGAGGGCTGGGTGGAGAGCGGAGGAGATTGCATCCTCTGTGGACCGTTTAGCTCGGTAGGCAAACTGAAACGGGTCCAGCGATGGGGGGAGGGTGGATTTGATCTGCTTCATGACCAGCCTTTCGAAGCACTTCATGATGGTGGAAGTTAGTGCGACGGGGCGGTAGTCGTTGAAGCCGGATGGAGATGACTTCTTTGGCACTGGAATGATGGTGGTTTCCTTGAAGCACGAGGGAACAACAGCCTGGCTCAGGGAGATGTTAAAAATGTCTGAGGACATCTGTGAGCTCCTCCGCGCAGTCCTTCAGCACACGACCAGGAATGTTGTCAGGTCCTGAAGGACTGCGCGGAAGAGCTCACAGATGTCCTCACAGACATTTTTAACGTCTCCCTGAGCCAGGCTGTTGTTCCCTCGTGCTTCAAGGAAACCACCATCATTCCATTGATGAACCTGGGCCAAATATGTTAGGGCGTAAGGGCGTGTTGTGTCAAAAAAAACTGGGATTTGAGTCTTGTGCAATTTGTACTATCAGTTCTCAGCATCTGTTAACGGAATGATATACATATGTGCCAAAGTATTTTCTCAGGACAATGCCAGATTCCAAGAAGCCTCTTTTATCCAGCTGTAACAACACAAGTAAAATAAATGCAGCTCTTAACGTCAACAACTAAAACTAAAAAGCTGAACCAATACCAAATTTGATAACTTTGTTAAGACGTATAGCATACAGAATATGTTTTATTCTAGCCCTTGAGGCAGATGGAATAGTCAAAATAACCTGCAATGTTTTGTAATGTTGGCTTGTATTTATCTTTGTTTTTCATCAATGCATTAGCCTCATGTAAAACATATGAATTATTATTATTATTATTATTAATAATACATTATCAATGTAGGGCTTTAGTATAGTCATAGCACACAGAATTTGTCATCTTTTTTTGACTGAATTCCCATAAAGTACTCTAAAATATGAATTGTCAAAGTGAGGTATTGGTAACGTTTTTATCATTAGCCTCATTGCCAATGCCACTGACATGGGATTTGTGTATTGGATTGTATCGTAAAAGGCCACCTGGCTCCTCACTTCACTGCCTCTATAGCTCGAAATACCAATGGTTTGATTTGCCAACTGTCTCCAGCTTTTCCTCTTTGTTTATTTAAAACCTCTGAATGCTGATAATTCACAATATTTAACCTGAACTTCTCTTTCTTTCTCACATCAGTGAACTATCAGCTGAGCTTCAATTCTGTCTTCACAAGCATAAAACTTCTTTATTTTTTTTGTGTTCCCTTTTAGATGGCACTGACAGATTTTTATGCGAGTCTGTATTCAGCTACCAAGTCGCCTCCACACTTAAACAGGTCAAACGTGGTAAGTCAGTAACTGTGTTTATAAAAAATATGTTTATTTGTCTTGATCCATTAACAAATTGGTACACTAATAAAGTAACAATGTGTTCTTCCAGATCAACAAATGTCTCGACTGGAGAAACTTGCGAGCTTGGTGGAGGAGCTGGAAGCAGATGAGTGGCGGTACAAACCAATTGAACAGCTATTGGGATTCACGCCGTCTTAAATAAAGAGACCCAGATGCCTTGATTAATAAATAAGCCAAATAAAAAGAGATGGTTTATTTCAGTTCATAAATTATATTCATTCTTAATGATTTATTTCATATTATAACTGTGGAATATTATCTGGAGATACTAAATGTGAGTTTTATTATTTAACTTTACCTATTGTATGAGTGTTTTTGTTTTTTTAAACAACCTGTTATATTTTACCCATACTATAAGAAACCACTGTTATTAAAAAAAATCTCCTTATTACTGACAAACAAAACAAAAAAAGTTTTTTAGGCTAATAAAGTTGTTTTGTCAATCCAATTTGCTTTCAGCATCGGTGTTACAAGAGTTATTATTTTTCCCTTGAAGTGAGGCATTGTGTTTCCACATGGCTGCACTGTAGCTCATAAATCTAAAACCTGCTGCTCGCTCCAACAACACTTGGAGCAAAAACAAAGAGGGCTTGTAAATAAAGTCATACTTGGATATTCCTTGTCTTGTGTTTTTTTTTGTATAGTTTGTTCCTAACCCACTTTGCTGAGTTAGTTCCTGATGAGTAGAAACTAAATCTTTGTGCTTTTGTATGTTCAAAATGTACAGTTTTAGATTTGTTGAGCCAAAGTCGGAACCCAACTGATTTTGTCTTTGTCAGTTTTTGCTCCAATGAGAGCAAAGAAAGGGTGGTGTTTTCCTCAGTGAATGGATGTTCTCTAACAATTAAGGGGTGGGGATGAACATAATGTACTGTTCTTGCTGCTAAGGCCCGGCCCTGGACATTAAGACACACCCATATTGGCAGCTTCCTTCCAAGAGTTCAATTTTGTGCATAACACTTTCTAGGAATTTACTTTACAAGTTGTTTGCTCAAACTATTTCATGGCTTTACATGAGCATCTGAAGACTTCAACTTCAGTCTGAAATCTTTGTGTATGTAAAAGGAACAAACATTTCTTTATACTGATGAAACTTCTCGATGACTCTTAATTCATCACTTCCCCCTCAGAACATTCTGTACCTTCACGTGTTTACGTCTTTAAGTTCCTCCCAGACTTTACACAGTCCGCCCCACTCTTCGGTAACAACAGAAACTGGTTTCTTTCCAAATATGTAAAATCTTTAAGCAAACATTGAGTGCGTCATGTACAGTGCGGCCCTGGCAGACAGGAACAACAGCAGCAGTTTCTGCTTTGAACCCCTACAAGTTTTCTCTTAATTAGCTTGAGTTTCTACCTGGTATGCCCTAATTTACTCATCTCTAAAATGTCAGTCCCATGCATTGTTTTTGTAAGCCATAAACCTCTTTGATAACATCAGAACACATTTTGTGACATAATAGAGGAATAATGAAATAGCACTGAGTAAGCTATTCTTATGCTGCATCCCTATTACTCTGCATGTTTTCATTGTTATTTTATATGAGGCCAAATGAAAGAAGATGCACATCTTTGCATATAAAATTCATTTATCAGCATATTATCATCAGCTCCTAGTGTTGTATGTTGCAGCTGAATGTGTGTTGTTTGCACCTCTCAGTGGTAGATACAAAATTCTGATGTAATGCTTTAGCAAAACAGGTGACGTAATGTTCACTGCAACACTCAACCAGACCAGCCTGCATGGATTTTATTCAATGCTATGAATACATGCACTGGATGTGTTTCATTTGTATATGCTTATAAAGGATATTGAATAAAGAAAAATATTATATTATCCTTGCAAGCCTAGACAAGTCCCTGTATATTTCCACAACACTGGGGTCTGCTATTCATCACCCTAGCCCCCCTTCTCCTCCTCTTGTTTTTCTTTCTTCTCTGCTGGCATGTTACCAGGCAAGATACAGATCCGAAGCCGTGCCTCTCTTTTTGATTGGCTGGCTGGATGTAAATAGGCGTGGCCTAGCAGCTTGTATATAACCATTGTTGCGAGGATAAACCGCAGAGCTCGGCAGCTGGTCTTTGAATGAGAAAGTATAGGTCATAGAAGCTACCAGATGGTTGTTTTTGCAGACAATAAGCCTTCAAATACCTTCCTAAAACATCGACAACGGACTTCAACGGCACCGTTGTCAAATAACCTGTAAGTACTATGTCACCGTTGATTATTTTGTCAGCTTGGTTTCAAATTTAAACAGTTTAACAGTTGCTAGCTACCGTTAACAAAGATCTGTCATTCTGTAAACTTGTCATTCAACCTTAACAATAACTGAAAACGCATGTTACTTGTGGGTTAAATTATCCTTTATTTAACTTTTGAGTTGTGTATTTTGTCTCGAGTTTGAGTGCTTATCTGTTGTCTTTGTCTCCTCACTAACAGCTGACCACAGAAGCAGCTGATACTGAATTCTGCAAAGATGCCTGCTCTCTCTTCACCCACTGATATCGGCAGCTTACCCCCGTCCCCAGTGGACAGCAGTCCTAGGAGGCTGTCCTGGGGCAAACTTGTGCAAAGATTGGCTGATTTCAGCACATCTGCCAACAACAGCAGTATTGAGTCTGGGTCCAACAATGGCAGCAGGAGTGATCTCTCAGAATCAGGTAAACAACAGCTGCAATTATTTCTTACACTCATTCAAATTATCTCTATTCCCATTTTTTTGGTCATGTTCCCATTTCTTACCCCATTGTTGTTTGCCAACAGGGTCAGATGTATGCGGTGACCTGTCTCCTTGCAATGAAGACCTGTTTTATGATCCAATGGAGGAGATCATTCTGAAAGAAGTAGTGGACCTTATTGCAGGAAGCCTGAAAGAAGCCAAAGACTCCGACTGTTCCTTGAGGTGCTCCAAACTGCTGATCCCTGAGAAACTTCTGGAACACATCGGACAAGAGCTCCTTCACCTGGCAGCTAGTGAGCCCTGCGGCTTAAGAGGGGCTCTCATCGACCTTTGTGTGGAGCAAGGGGCCGTGTGTGAGAGTATGGCTCAGTTATCTGTGGACCCTTACCTTGTCCCCACCTTTCAGCTGACTCTGGTGTTGAGGCTTGAGTCAGGTGGGCTGTGGCCTAAGATCCAAGGACTTTTTAGCACAAAGTCTCCTTCCACTCCAGTAGTGAGACGAGCTATTAAACTTAGCACTGGTTTCCGGGTGATCAAGAAGAAACTGTATTGTTCTGAAGAGCTGCTCATTGAGGAATGTTAAGAAATGTAAGGGACTGTCGATGTTTTATTGTTTTTAAAACGCCCAGTTAAGCTTGCAGAAGGGCCTTATTATTATAACTCCATGTTTATGATGCCTTCAGAAGGATGGACATTGACCAGATGTAGCCTATTGTTCTACTGTAAGGAAGTTTATGGTACCTGAAGCAGATTTTGCTTTTTAAACATACGATGTTTAACCATCATATGTGGTTAAGAAAGTCATTTTGCGAGTATTAAAGCGCGTACCTCAGTTTCTATTGAAACGTACAACGGCAGCTAGCTATGATTAAAGTCATTGAAGACCATTGTGTTTTTTTTCTTTTTATACATGCTAATTAATTGTAATGTACACAAAGTGATGAATTGTACGCCAGGCAAATCATTAGGAACCCTAGTGACTGCTTGAATTCCAGAGTAAAGGCTTACCAGCACTTGCATTGTGCAGTTTATGTGCAGTTTCTCTGCAATATCAAATGTACCTTGATCTTGTATTTGTGTGGACCTGTCCTGCTTTCAACTTTATTTATTTGACATTCAAATACTCATAACATTGCACTGTTTTTGTACTTTCACGACTGCAAATAAATTATTTTTTTTAACAATTCTCTTTTCCTGTTGTCTTACTTCATGAAACTTATCAAAGCCTCCATTACATTTCATATGGCTGACACTTTTATCCAAAGCGACTTACAATAAGTGCAAAAACCATATGTTCGAACTCTGAACATTATTATTTGGAAACTGAAAAGTCAATATAATGGATCTACTTAGGAGCAAAACTGCAATTGCCATGTATGTCTTCCTTTTACAGTGACAACATCAATCTTTGCTACCTGGCTTGTGCAAAAAGAGCTATAACAAGTATGAAATCCACTTGATATTTGTTCTAAAACAATAGATTTTTTGGCAGGCCTTCAGATAAAAGGATCACACTCACAAACTTACATTAAGTGCAAAAGCCATAGATGTTCAAACTCCGAACAACGAAAGTGCAGATATATTCACTTCAAGCAAGTCATACCAAGTGCTGGTGAATTAGTTACAAGGCCTAAACTAACAATTTAAAGGGCTTCCATTAGCAATTTTAGATCCAGATTCAGGCTTCTATGGAAAATTGGGAGGTTTTATATAATGCAGAAATGACTTTCAGTTGGCAAACTATACCAGAATACTAAGATATCAGTTTAAGCAGGGCCGTCCCTGGCCAACTTGAGGCCCCACGCAAAGTTAGATGATGAGGCCCTCTGTTTCACGAGTGTCGGGGGGGGGGGGGTACTAAACCGTGCCGCGCCACACTAATTGCGCCGCATAAGCGCATAGGTGCGCCGCATTTGCTCAGTTGAGGCTCCCTCCGCAAGATGAGGCCCCCTCCGCGAGGTGAGGCTCCAGGCCCACGCAGTCTGCGTGATCTACCTGTAGGGAGGGACTGCCCTGAGTTTAAGTGAGGGATAATGGTGTATGTTTCTTGATAAAGTTACATTTCTGGCAAGCCAAAAATAAAAAGCAGAGCTGCGGTGATAGACTCTGACTCTGTAATTCCTGCGCTTCTCTCGCTGCACGCCCCGCAAAATGTGTACGTGCACAGAGCCATGTTTCCCGTTCCCAGTCCCAGGGCCCTCGATCCTCGGTCCTCGAAGTGCATTTAGAGAAATGAGATGTCCTTCAACATGGCGCGCTGAAATCCATTTCCGGGTCACTACCGGAGGACCGAGGAATAGAAATTAGAGAAATGAGAAAGGCCCCTAGTCAGCGGCCCCGCAGAATTTACGAGCTGAATGTGCTGACTGAGCTTTAGTCTTTGTGTTTATTCTGCTCAGAGCGATGAATGACTTCCAACATGTTTTAAGCATTCATATTTATTTTCATCTGGGAGTAAAAACATTGTGGAAAAGTGAGCAAGATTTGCATTGTTTTTCTTAGTCTAATAAATAATACAAAGCATAAATAGCATAATATAAACAAAAGGTGTGATAAAAATAGCTTTTTCCAACAGTTGATGTTCATCAAGAGACATAATACTTAAAACCTGTCAAAGTCCCAGGGCACATCTCTCATTCCCTTGGCTTTTATTGTGAAGTGCCATTAAGTTGAAGCATAAAATTCTACCCATATGACAGTTAAATAGGCAAAACATAAAAAGGGACATTTCCTTGTTATCTCTCGCACACACACTAACACACACGCACACACATAGACAAAGATGACAAATCTGAGGTGTTAAAGTGTCTGAAAAAGCTTGGACATGAGTGTATATTCATCAGAGGTTTCACATTATTCCTGCATAGTTTCAGAAATTGCATTTTAAGACAAAACAATAAACCCTCTTTTGTCCCTGCTCTGTAAAATAAAAGAGG